TATAAAAACTGCAAGATGACAGAACAGCACAGAACAACTAATTCTAAAGCTTTTTTTAGCCTAACCATACCCATATTGTGGGTATGAGAATCAAGAAAAATTGAGGGCCCTAGAATATAAAATAAACTATTTACAAAGATCCTATTAAAAGGCCAGCTAATCAGGGAGTTTAAAAAAAAAAAAAAAAGACACAGAGGAGGTCTTTAGAATAAGATCTGATCTCATGTTTTTAAACTTTAAGGATAATTTATAAATTCCCAAGAAGGATAGGTAAGGATGGAAGGATGAGCATGGCTCCTGGCTTTGACCATAAAATCCTTTACAAGATGAGAAAGTCTGCATGTAATCAAGGGAATTTTGCTTTTTTATCCCACGTCTGACTTGAAGCAGAAAAAACATTTAAAGAACTTAGGGACCTGAAGTGTCTTGTGAAAAAAGAAACACAATTACAAAAATCACTGTGAAAAGCAGATATAGAATAGGTTACCAACAAGGAGAAGATTAGTAACAGGAAGAAAAATCGGTACTGGAAGTGAATAGAAGGTATACAAAGGCATGTAGCATTAAAAAAAAAAAAAAGGAGGTAGCATGAAAAGCACTAAGAAAACTTGCTTGGCCAGTGTGGCTCAGTGGTTGAGCATCTACCTATGTACCAGGATGTCAAGGCACATTCCTGGTCAAGGCACATGCCTGGATTGCAGGCTTGATCCCCAGTAGGGAATGTACAAGAAGCAGCCAATCATTGAATCTCTTTCATCATTGATGTTTCTATCTCTCCCTCTCTGAAATAAATTTAAAAATATATATATATTTTAAAATATATTTTATTGATTTTTGTACAGAGTGGAAGGGAGAGAGAGAGAGAGAGTTCGAGACATCAATGAGAGAGAGTCATCGATCAGCTGCCTCTTGCACACCCCCCACTGGGGATATGCCCGCAACTAAGGCACATGCCCTTGACCAGAATCGAACCCGGGGCCCTTCAGTCCCCAACCCGACGCTCTATCCATTGAGCCAAACCGGTCCCGGCTAAAAATATATATATTTTAAAAGACTATAAAGGTTGCCTTAGTCAAACTTTCAGAAATACAAAAATGAATATAAATAAATAACAATTGCCTATCATTCCAGCCAGATATTTCCTTCTAGCCAAATTTTGTCTGTCTGCTGTTATTGTATGACTTAAAGTGTGAAAATCTTTTTTTTTTTTAATATATTTTATTGTTTTTTTGTTTTGTTTTTGTTTTTGTTTTGTTTGTTTTTTTACAGAGAGAAAGGGAGAGGAATAGAGAGTTAGAAATATCGATGAGAGAGAAACATTGATCAGCTGCCTCCTACACACACACACACACACACACACACACACACACACACACACTGGGGCTGTGCCTACAACCAAGGTACATGCCCTTGACCAGAATCGAACCTGGGACCCTTCAGTCCGCAGGCTGACACTCTATCCACTGAGCCAAACCGGTTAGGGCAAGTATGAAAATCTTAACGTACGACTCAGTGAGTTCATAGCATTCATGTAAACATGACTCAGCTCAAGATGTAGACAATTCCATTATTTCAGAAGTCTGTCCTTGTGCCTTTTCCATTTTGGCGGTTCTTGAACCTCACATAAATGGGATCATACAGTGTGACGTCTGTTGAGTCTGTCTTATTTTGTTCATCTTTGTCTGTACTTGTTACTATAAGACCTTTTAGCCACCCCCCCCCACACACACATTATTGTATGTAATATTGTTCTGGGTTGTTTTTTTAAAATTGCTGAGCAATTTTCTGTTATTTAACTATACCATAATCTATCAGTTCTGCTCTTAGGGAACATTTGGATAGTTTTTAGTTTGGAGCTATTATAAGTAAAGCTGCTTTGAACATTGTTACATATGTCTTCAGTGGACTTAGGCACTTATTTTATCTCAGTATAGATCTAAGAGTAGGTAAGTCATAAGGTAAATACTGCCAAAGTCATGAGTACATTATATCCTTCCAAAAGCTTGTTATAGTTTTCATATATAGATCCATAATATAGTGTGAATTATATTTTGTTTTTAAGGATGAGGATCAAGGTTCATTTCCTCACTCCCACAAGAATATTGTGGAATGAACTCAAAAAGAGTCTGGAGGCTTTGCTAGAAATAAATACTAAAAATGTATTCAAAGGTCAGGGTTTGCAAGCTGGAAATACAAGTAGGCAATACCCAGAGTGTTTTGAGGAAGAAAGCTAAGAGTTCTTATAGTAACAAGTACATTCTTGAGAAAAGTCAGTCCTGCCTTCTTAGCCTCTGGATTTGTCTGAGAGTGTAATTGACTGTTGATCTGGATAATGGATGTCACGAGGTTTGGATATGTGAGCATTCCTTCTGTAGTCCTTTAGTGGGTAATCGGGGTTATCTGGAGGTTTGCTATATTGCATATTAGTGTTTATAGTAAAGAAACTTGGGGTCGTGCTGTATATGTAGCTTTAAATTTTTTCTTAAAATTAATATTACATATGCTTCAAAAACAAATCAAAATGACAGCAAAAGAACTATGTAGATGTACTATAATTTAATTCTTTTCTCTTGTTGGGTATTAGGGTGTGGGTTTTTTTTTTTTCTGTTCTCTGTTTTTCTTCTTCTTTGTCTTTTACAATGCATGCTTTCCAAATGTCTGATAATCTTTGTTCATTCATTTATTTATGAGGTAATAAAAAATTGATTAGAAGATCTGTGTAGACGGGCTTTACTGTGAGGTGACTGGGTGAGTTATTTCTTGGAATCTCCTCAGCTTTTAGTTATCAATACTTTTTTTTTTTTTTTCCATTGGGACTCTTTAGTTTTTCCAGGGGAAAATTCCCCAGTGTGCTACTTACAGATTCAATGCCAGGCTACCAGGTAATTTTAAAATAATAATGAAAAATATTGTTCTTTTCTACACCTCTACTTTGATGAGGTTTTTTATGATCTTATCTCCATGGACCACTTTTCCAAAGAATAGTTACTGCTTTTCTCATTGTAACATTGAATATCTGCTAATCCTGTGACTTGAATAGGATCTTTGGATAGCAGTGGTCATGCAATACAACCTATTAATGGATCTTGGATGCTACTCCATTTGCACTGTGTCTTTTTGTAGCTTTGATTTGTCTTTTATGCTACAATTTCTGTTTACATTGGATCCTTCCAATAGGACTGACATTTCACCTGACCAAATTTATAAGGGAAAACGTTCATAATACAAAGTTTAGTATCATACCTTAAATGAAAAGCTCATTTAGTATCATACCTTAAATGAAAAGTTTTGGTTATGTTAAGTGGTTTGTACTAGACTGTGTTAGTGTTAGGTAATTTTTTATGTTGCTTTGTTCCTGTACAAGCTTGAGAATAATTGATTCCCATCAGGGAGGTCCTGCTTCTCAAAAGGACTTTGATCCCAGCACAGATGCTGTTTCTGTGACTTTTGCTGTTCTTTCTCTCACTGTTACTGAGGGAGGATGTGGTGGTTGTGTGGGCAGCCAACAAAGTCTGTTAATTTAATTCAGATTTTCCTGAGGATCCTTACTTAATGGCTGTCCTGTTCTTCATGTAGAGTCAGATAGAGTCACTTATTAGATTACATGTTATGAAAAAGAATTAAGTAAAACTTAGTAAATACTAAGTATTTACAAAATTAAATATTCACTGAGTATTTAGTAATACTCAAAATAGTAAGTTTTGGCTGAAACCGATTTGGCCAAATCTATCAGTGGATAGAGCATGGGCCTGCAGACTCAAGGGTCCCAGGTTCGATTCCGGTCAAGGGCATGCACCTTGGTTGCGGGCACATCCTCGGTGGGGGGTGTGTAGGAGGCAGTTGATTGATGTTTTTTTCTCATCCATGTTTCTAACTCTCTATCCCTCTTCCTTCCTCTCTATAAAAAAATCAATTAAAAATATTTTTTAAGTAAGTTTTGGATATGAGACTGTTCCCTTTATTAACTTACTATTTAATTAGGGATAGAAGAAACTCAAATAAGTAAAGAGTTTAATAGCAATACTAGAGATGGGTAGTACTACAAGGCAGCAAGATGACAGGTATCTCCCTGTTCATCCAGTGTGGACTTTGCATTCCCCAGTAATGCTTTTCCTCTGGAAGTCATTGTGTTGGCACTGTGGAAATGAGATGCTGGCCTTGCAGACTGGAACCCAATTAAGAGAATGATTAACAGGCTTGGAGGCTGGGAAGCAATGGCCTCTCTCACAGAAAGCCACTGAGAACAGGAACCTATAAACACAAGTGGGATTCCTGGTAGGCCGCTCCAGGGTCCCTGGAGCCTGGATGGTCAGGGGAGATGCTCAGCAACCTCTGAAGACAGCTTTGCCCCTGTCTAGTGATGACTGAGCACGCTGCTCAGCTGCTTAGAGGTATGGGTCCGGGGGAGCAACCAGATCACCCAGTGCCCAGGGCGCAGGCGGCAGTCACACGCTTTGGTCGGTCACTGGTGGCAGTGCTGCTTGTTCGAAAACCCCATGTGGCCCAACCCTTTTATTGGAGGACTGCTGGTACTGGGTCAGTGTCTGCTGATCTGACTTATAATTAGTGCTATTAGACTTTGTGCTTTTTCTTAGAGCTATCCAGTCACATTTATGGATATTTCAGGCAATTAAAACACAAAATAATATTCTGTTCTTCACTCAACACATTTATTGAGGGGCCTGCCTTGTGCCAGGCACAATGCTAAGCTCTAGGGACACGGTGAGGATTCAAAATAGGCCTGATCTCTGCTGTCCCAGCCTACAGTCTAGTGGGGAAGACAGACAAAGACTAACAAACAGATACATAAGATATTTGCCAATTATGATCGTGAAAAGGAAACAAACTAGGCAGAGCTGAAGATTTTCAAGAAGTTTGAAATACTTTTATGGCATTTTGTAAATGATCTCATGGGTTGAAATTTGCTTCCTAATGATTTCCACTGATTAAATGCAAATACTTTTATTCTTTGTCTTTTAGGTATATTCTGCAGTTCCCCAATGAACCCGGGGAACCCTCCACCGTATTCGGGCCCTGGCCCGACGGCCCCGTACCCACCATATCCACAACCACCAATGGGCCCTGAGGCCTACCCTCCAGGACCTATGGGAGGGCCTTACCCGCCTCCTCAGGGGTACCCCTACCAAGGATACCCACAGTATGGCTGGCAAGGCGGGCCTCAGGAGCCTCCTAAAACCACAGGTATGTGAAGGGTGTGTGTATAGGTGGGTATGGGGAGGGGGTGCACAGTCCCACGTCACCAAAGAGCGTAATTGCCAGTGTTCTTGGACAGAGAGGAAACTGGCCTCTGTGTGCCGTGGTTGACATTCTCAAAGCTTGGTGAGTGCTTAGGGTGGCTGCTTATTCCTGAGAGGACTTCTTTCTCAGGAAACCTGAAACAGTTCTGCCTACTTCCTTGATTTCTCTTGTTCCCTGTGGGGCTGATGACTTCCAGGCCGACATGTTTTCTGGCGCACCTCCCGGAGCACTGGGGGGTAGGGAGAAGGGCCAGTTGGCTTTTTGCTCTGGCCGTCAGTTTTGTTTTTCAGGTTTAGCCTGTTGGGGTTATTTTATCTCAACTTGTTGACCCTCAAGTCATCCTCTTGCCCCTACTTTTGGGGTTGGTTTTCTTTTCTAACATGTTTTCATAATTCTGTTTAACCTGCTGGCTGAGTTCTCAGCTGGCTTGTGAGTCCTCATGTGCTGGAACAGTGCTCCTCAACATTTACTGTGCACACTAGCGCCAGTCCATGGGCAGCACCAGGGCCATGATGAGATAAACACAGAAAGTGGGAGTAAACATTTAGAAACCTTTAGAGCAATTTGATATTTCCCTGACATTCAAGCATGTGAGTTTGCATTTTATAAAAGTATCAGTCTGTGAAGGGTAAAAAGGAAATATCTTGAGAAGCACTGTACTAAATGTCTTGGTGATTGCTCTGTCTCAGAACCTTTGTGGAATAGTTGCTCTATCTTTCAGCTTAATTTTTATTGAGTGCTTATTATGTGCCTTGTGGTATCCTACAAGTTTTATATATACATTAACATTTAATCCTTGCAACAATCCTATGAGGTTATTCCCACTTTACAGTGAAGTAATTGAGGCACAGAGTGGAATAATGATTTGCCTGAGGTCCTCCAGCTAGAAGTTGCAGATCCCAGAGTCTAATTCGGATTGTTCAGCTGAAGAATCTTGTACCTCTAATTTCTTGCTGTACTCTTGTCTCTCTCCTGTCTTTTCTGACCCACATTCATCTGAATTTAGGGCTTTAGGCTGCCTCTGAGATTTTCCTAAAGCTTATCCCCTTATTAATCAAAAGTAGTAGCAGAATCAATGGCTTATTTTATTTTGGGATTTGAGGATTCTTTAGAATGGGTGGATTCCAAGGAAGAAAAATATGTTTGAGGAAAATTACACTCAATATGGAAAAGTAATACTTTTATAGTGTCAGATCAGAGGCTACGCTAAGATTGAATAGGTGTTCATACCTTTAAAAGATTTGGTTTATCTTAAAGGAAAGCTTTTACAATCCAAGATTCTGTTTTGCTGTAAGTTTTAAATAGCTCATGCTCGGAAGAGTGCAGGAAGTATAGCCAGTAAAATCAGAATATTTGGCATTCAGATCTGTGACATCAGAGGGGGATTTCCTGAAAATAAATCTCAGTTTCCGGTTTTCTGCTTCAAGACAAGGTAACCCTGTGATGAATGAAAGAAGGCAGAGTGAAATACCACATAATGTATGATTCCAGTTACGTACAATTCAAGAACAAGCTAAAATAATCAAGAGTGATGAAGGTCAGAATTGTGTTTACTCCTGGCTATGGAGTAGGAGGAGAGGGGAGTTGGTTATTGATTGGGAAGGCCACAAGGGAACCTTCTGGAGTATTAGGAATCTTCTTTTCCTTAATCCGGGTATAAACATTCTTCAAGCTGTACATTTACTATTTGTGCACTACCTTAGATGTTATATGTCAATGAAAAGAAAAGTCATCCTAACATCTGGGTTATCCAATAGATTCACCAATAGTTATCCAATAGTGCCTGCCTGGTGTTATGTCTTCCACGCATAGCCCCCATGGTCTATAGTGTGTAGGCCATTTCTAGACCTGTATTGTTTATACTGATTGTAACTAGCATTCGATGGATGTGAGCTTATTTAGAATAAGTGCTTTCTGGGCTTGCAAAATATACAGACTTCATCTTCTTTCTTTACCTTTGGTGTTATTTCAGCCTTTTTTGAGAAAATAATATCTTATTTCTTAGGGTGAAAAGGCTCTGTTTATCTCATCCTATATAATTAAGAGCTAATATGCTAATTAGAACAGATGGCAGAACAACTTTCCGGAGCCACTTTCCAGAACAACCATTGGACAGGGGACGGGGCTGCGAGGCACCTGGGGCTGTGAGGGCTGAAGCAGACAGTGCTGCGAAGGCCTACTCTTGCACAAATTTCGTGCATCAGGCCTCTAGTTATTTCATAAATGCATTTGAAAGCTATTTAATGTCCTGTCCTTTGGGATTTTTTTCTCTGTTAACTCTCTCTCCCCCTCCCTCCACATGGCCCTTCAGTGTGTCTGGCTTGGGTCTCCTTACAGCGTGACAGCCTCAGATAGTGGGCTCCTTCCATGATCATATGCAAAAGTGGAAGCTACCAGGCTTTCTTAAAAAAAATTTTTTTTAATTAACTTCTAATTTTGAAACAATTTCAAACTTACAGAAGCAATTCAGAAATAGTACAAACAATTCACCTAGGTTTCACCCAGATTTCCCCATCATCACTTCCATCATACTTTTATTGGTCAAAGCAGCCCCAAGTCCACCTAGCATGTGGTCTGGGGGAAGGCCACATTGCAAATGGCGTGTGGATTGGGAGACCTTTGGGAACAGGACCACAAAGCCCAGTGGTGAGGATGAACTCCTGTTCAGTGGAGCATCTAAAGAACAAAACTTCTAGGTTCTTGTAAAAATGTCAGAGTAACAGACCATTTAAATTTAAAAATTAAACACAACATATTTCCAATGTCATGTCAGAAAATAGGCAGTCTGTCTTAAGGAACATTCTGTGAATTGGTTAGAAAGTCATGAAAAAGAGGTGTTTTAATTCTGTCATCAAAGTGGAAATGACTCCCACTCAGACACCTTAAATCATCAGAAGTGGCAGAGGCCGTGGATGGTCACCTAGGTTAGCCATCCCCCACGCTCCTAGCAGACATCACTCGTCAGTGTGGCTCTTTCTGCTCAGCCCAACGGTGGCCTCAGCCACTCTGAATAGGCTTGAATTGTTGGGTAAGAGGAAACCATTTACTATTCCTGCTAGGCTAACCTCATTTTATTAGAGATTCAAAGGGAAGCCCAGAGAGGCTTAGTGAGTTTTGGCTTGGATATAAGTCCTGATTCCAAGATAAGTACCTATTTCCTCCCGATGCCTTGCTATAATCCAGCACAGATTCCATGTGATTGTCAAATGCTCACCAAAGGAAAATACCTCCTTTTCAGCCATTCCCTCTCCTATCTCCCTCAGCCCCCACCCTTACCCCAAAACCCTGTTAATTACAGCAGGGCACCAGTTTCCTAGTAAACAGAGGTAAGTGGAGTGTGAGCGAGCTGGATTCAAACCCAGGTAACCCCAGGATCTGGCAGGTTACTGAGCCTCTGTTTTGGGTGTGCCTGCTTCCCCTTATAAGCTTCTCTCCTTCACCTCAGCTTCCAGAGCACCTGAACAGTGTTGGCCCAGTGTTTATGCTCAGTAAGTATGTGTTGAATGAATGGCAACATCACTATTTCGAAAGGTGGTTGTGACTTCATGTTAGGTATCTGGTCCCTTTTCCTTGGGACCCTTCCCTTATTAGCTAATTCTTTTGAATCCAGATACTGGGATTTATACATGCTCTTCTGGGTTAGGACTGCAATACCTGGCAATATATTGATTTAAAATAAAACAAATCTGCCCAGCTGGTGTGGCTCAGTGGTTGAGTATCAATTTATGAACTAGGAGGTCACTGTTCAATTCCGTCAGGGCACATGCCCAGCTTGTGGGCTCGATCCCTAGTAGGGGACGTGTAGAAGGCAGCTGATGAGTGATTCTCTCATCGTTGATGTTTCTCTCACTCTCTCTCTCTCTCTCTCTCTCTCTCTCTCTCCCCCCCCCTCTCCCTTCCTCTCTGAAATCAATAAAAATATATTTTAAAAAATAAAATAAAATAAATTCTATCAACTGAGTCCTTGGGATGCTCCATGGAGACCAAAAGCCCAGATGGCCTTTGCTTGGGTTTCTAAGCCCATAGATAGGGAACTGAAAGTGACCCTATTATGGTTCTTTGTAATTTGAAGAAGCAAAAGCAGAGTGCTTGTTCCAGGAGTGCCCTGCTGGGTCACTGGCCAACCAGTAAGGAGTTCTCCTTTAGTCCACAGTCACAGATGCGGGGGGAGGGGAGAGTGGCATGTTTCTCCTGCACACTTTCTTGGTGTCTGACAAGGCTCTCCTCAGTCAGTGTGAGGATGGAAGAGAAGGAATTGAACGGTATGGCATCTGCGGCTAACTGGCTTGAGGCATGGAATTACAACCTGGCTTGTTTGAGCCTTTTATGCCTTTCTTCATCAAAAACTCTGATCAGGCATTTTCATTGCCCTGGGAAGCTCTCTAGCATGGAGTCCAGCTCAGTGCCAGATATCAGATGACAGACTGTCCCAGCAAGGACGCTGCATGGTGCCACCAAAAGCCGCATTGGCTTAGGGATCTAGGTTTAGTTTCTCAGGTTCCCTGGGCTTCTGTTTCCTTATCTGTGAAACAGGAATGTGGTGAAGAATAAAGTAATATGTACAGTTTATGACACTTCAATGGGCATTAAGGAAGTTTGTAACCTTTTGCAGCTCACAACATTTTTCTGAATTTTTGCTTGTGGGTGGATGGAAGTGGTGAAAACAGGAAGTTCTCATGGGGAAGGTGGGAAGACAGGAACTGAGGGTCATTCCTGATCTACCCTAAGAATTCCCACTGCCTGAGGCAGCTGTGGGCAGCCCTAAAGTCATCCCACCTACTGTCATAGCCACATAACTGGCCTGGCTCCTCTAGCTCTTGCCCCTGCTGTCTTTTACCCAGACCCGATTAAAAGTCAGAATTTTTGCAGTGACTAGCAGTTCTCTATGAGTAGGCTGCCCTCCTTTTACTCCCCACCTTAACAGAACCCAAGTTTGTGTGCCT